ATAATACCTTCACCACCTGCTTGAGTAGGTACAGAACACCATATGTTCTCATTCCTGAAAGTCAGACAATAGCAGAGACTTGTGTTTTCTGCAGACCTTGGTTGTCCAAGTTTTTCATAATACATCACTGATTGCTTCCCTAACCAACCTAACCCTCACTCAACTCTGTGCACAACCTCACGTTTTTTTCTCTGCAGTTCATGTGACATACAGTCTGTGTCACGTGATACCTAATTATGTAAAGTCAGATGTCCTTTGTTTAGAGTATTAAATAAAATTTAACTAAAACCTGTATAATAGTCTGCTTCTCCTTGCTACTACTATGAAAAGCTAACGTGGTTAAATAGAAGCTGTGTAATTCTACAATTGCTGCAGTCTTCCTCATGCTTACATTTTGACCAAGACACCAACAAGCAGAACTTACTTAACTTGCTCTCAAATGAAGACTGTCTCAAGTCAGTAAAATCTCAAGTTGAATGGTTAAAAGAAATACAAGGTTTTTAAATCAAGTCTAGGAAGGAAGAAAAAAACACTTACACCTTAGGGGAACAAGATACACATAGGATGTCTGATAATATGCAGATCTTTGGTATTCATTCACATACCGCATTTTAAGAACTGGAAAATGCTTTAGCCTCTTTTGATCTCTTCATTTTACAGATCAGGAAAAACACTACAGCTATTCTGCTTTATGTCTACATGTCCTCCCAATGCCTCATGCTCTCATAGGGGGACTTTTGGGGGGTGACTGGATTGTGGGGGCCTGACAATCATCAGTCCACAGATGTGTTTATAGCTGAATGCGATGCTGGTGCCAGGGATTTAGCTCAGCGGCACGGCGCCCGCCTGGCCAGTGCAAGGTCGTGAGCTTGATTCCCGGTACCAAAAAAAAAAAAAAGTGATGTTGGGAGGTAGAACGCAGTCAAAGGGTCCGGGTAACTGGTGTGGCCCAGAAGGACCTATCTCCCTCTCCCACTTCTCCTTGCACTCTCTCTGCTTCTCCTCCACCGTGCCCCTGGGCCACGGTGCCCTGCCCTGGAACCTCTGTAAACTGTGAGCCAAAATATCCCCCTCCTCCCTCAGAGTTCAGGTGTTGGTATCTTGTCCCCGTGACAAGAAAGTAACCGAGCATACCCAGAATCAAATGACAAAAGGGCACACAGGGGAAAATAAAAATTATGAGTAGATTGAGAGTAAATTTTAACAAAAGAGCAGAGATATGCCTAACCTTCAAGTCTACTTTAAAGGAGGATCACAAGCCAGGGTGCTGATGCACACCCATAGTCCTAGCTCTGTGGGAGGCTGAGATGGAGGACCATGAATTCAAGCCCAGCCTGAGTAACTTAGTGAGACACTGTCTACAGATATAAAAGAAGAAAGGAAGAGAAAAAAATCCAAATTATTTTAAAATCCCGAGAGATTTGTGGGGATGGGGGAAGGAGAGAAGCAAGAGTAAAATGATCAAGATGCAGTATGTATTAGACACCAGTTCTTCAAGATGAACCTAATTTTACCATACACATCCCTGGTGGTATATACACTAATACCAAAAAAGAACTGCAAAGAAATCCGAAGGACTATTTAAGAATCATATTGTTAATAATAAAATTGGTATACTATTAATTGGAAAACATTACATATAGTACAAGGAAAAAAGTAATTGTATTAATGGTAGTAGGTACTGTACCAAGGTTTTCAGCAAAAGAGAAAAAGTTACAAATAATCAAATATTTTAAAGCTACAAAATTAAATTTAAATTGAAAATAATGTGAACTTTATATATACATATATATATATATATTTTTTTTTTGTACTGCGAATCAAACTCACAACCTCGTGCTTGCTAAGTAGGTGCTGAGCTCCTAAGCTGTATTCCCAGCTCTTTTTTAAAAAAACATACTTCCCAACTTTACACTATGAATCCTAAATCAATGCCCAACCTAGTAATAAGAACACCTCTCCCACCTGGACTGTGCTCTCTAAATACCAGCTTCCACTCAATAAAACAAGAGTTTTCTGGAGTCCAGAGAAGTATGTGGCAGGAACATGTTTCACCAAAAGGCAAGGAAATTATCAAAACTACTGGTTATATCAAGTGGAAATGGAGCCAACTTAAAGGACTACCACTAGCCAAAAGGAAAACAATTTGAGTATCAAAAATAAGATCGCAATATACTGAAACAGTTTAGCAAAGCATGGCGGCATATGCCTGTAATCTCAGCAATTGGGAGGCTGAGGCAAGAGGATTGCTAGAAGTTTGAGGCCAGTCTAGGCTACAAAGTGAGTTGTTGAGACCCTGTCTTAAAAAAAGAACAGTTTTAATATATTAAAGTCTGTAAGTTCATGATAATAATTTAAAAGGCCTAACCTTCACGGTTACCTTGAAGGCTGCTAGGCCACCACCTCATTACTGTAATCTGAAAAGGGAAGAAAAGAATTAAGCATATTTCTTGCCTTTCCTGTACAAACTGTATTTTAGGGTAGTCAAATGAAGGAAAGCTCTTCATAAAAGATTGATAAATACTGAAGGAATGACAAAACTAGGAAATCACCGTTTTGCAATCCCTAATGTAATAAGGGACAGAGGCAAACCACGCATTTCCGCACTAAGCGAAAGGCTCCTGGGCAACCTCATGCAAGATGGATTGGGTGACACCACCAGAACCCACTGCTTGATCACAGCATCACAAATGCAGCCAACTCAGACACTGCGTCTCCCTGATAATGAAGGGCAATAGATAGTAATTTTCATAATATGGAATTTATACCTATGAAACTTTCCTGCTCCTCCAATCAAAAACCAAGTTTCAATCTAATCAGTTTCTCCATCACTGTGGTTCAACAGAACTTCCTGCTACTATGGAAATATTTTATACAAAACTGCTCCAACGAAAGCCAGCAGACAATCTGTGATGACCAAGCAGCCAGAGCTGGCTAAAGGCCGATGGTACAATCCTAGATCTAACCCTGGCTGAGAAAACATAAAGTGAACAGAGGTACATCCGAAAGAACACCGTGTGTTACCGTCAGCTAAACTTAGAAGGACAAGGAAAAAAAGGAAGTGTGAAAACTACAGATAAAGATTTGAAGTGTGTATCAACCAAATCAAACAGCTCTGTGGGATTTGGGTCTAAACTAGCCCCTGTAAAAACTTATGGAACAACTGAGGAAATATGAACCTTGGCTGGATACTGACGCGATGGAATTTTTATTAACTCATATATGCATGGTAATATTGCAGTTTTGTAAAATTGAAAACCTAGCTCTTGTACAGGGGCATTTAGCTACAACAGATTGGACTACTGATCACCTTCTGCCACAACAGAAATGAGAACACTAACTGGAAAGTCTTCCACCTTTCAGACAGGAAATGACATCAGTAAAATTAACATACGCAATTTTTGAGACAGGATCTCCCACTGCAGTTTAAGATGGCCTTAGAACTAAGTAGCCGAGGTTTCCTCGAACTCAAAATAACCCTCCTGCCTCAGCCTCCAAACTGCTGGAATTACAAGCGTGGACTACTACGCCCAAGTTTTACAATTTTTAAACCCATGTATTTTAAAGGAGAGTATGTCTGAATGTTTATAAATCTCAAACCCATTTCAGTGTCACAGCCTTTTTTATTATATTCATCAACAATAATTGTATAGTCAAAGGCAAGTTCAGAATAAAAATTAGCACTGTATTCCAAATAGGAAAATACACATTTATCATATTACTAAAGTACAGCTATTAAGTGTAAATGTAAATATCTGGAGGCAGTATGTAGTCAATGAGCTTACGTTTCCTCATATAAAACTACAGGGTATAGCAGGGCTCGCCAGTAATCCCAGCACTCAGGAGGCTGAGGCAGAAGGATCCAGAAGGATTGCTGCTAGTTCGAGGCCAGCCTGGGCTACATAGTGAGATTTTGTCTCCTAAATAAAATTAAAATTAAAATAAAGCCTGGAGTGATGGTGGGCTTGTAATCCCCGTACTCTGGGGTATGTGGGCAGAAGGATCACAAGTTCCAGCCCAGACTAGGCAATCAGCAATTTATCAACACCTGCTCAAAAAAAAAAAAAAAAAGGCTGGGCATGTAACTCAGGGCAAAGGCCCTGGATTCAAAACCAAAAAAAAAATACAGACATGCAAGTATAGTATATGAGGAATTCTATAAGTACAGGGCATCTAACTACAATACTGGGTTATTAAATAATTTTTTTTTTAATTGGCCTAAGGAATTGGGCACAAGGCTCTGGGAAAGCTGTGCAAGTAGGCGCCCTGCCATGCAACTACAAACGAAAGCTAGTGTGACATCAGACTACTCCGCTGGCTGTTAGAGACGAGGAAACCACACAGAACCTTGACTCAGTGTCCTCAAGTCCCGTTGTAATGCAGTTACACTAAGAAACCGTCCTAAAAACCTCCCCTCTGCCATTCGCTGTGGCGCGCCCTCAGTGAGCTCATTCCAGGACTCAGTCCTTCGCGATCCCTTGCCATCTCTTGCAACGCTAACACGCACGTCCCGGCAGCACCCGCCCCAAACGAGAAAGTCTGCACAAAGCCGGAGCCGGCTGC